AGCTGTAAGCCTTTACTCTGGCAGCTTTTTTTATTATCTGTAACATGTTTTCGTATTATCTGATAGACCTTCATTGATGGTTTGGAGCTTTGGACCAGCTCCTTCAGGGCGCACAGATAAAAGATCCATCGATGTATTTTAATTTGTCGAGGGATTGTGATGGAATGTGATTACACCTGTGTACTGTGTCACTGCTTTCCTGCGTTTTGATTTTGAAGGATGTCTGTTGTGCTCTTCTCATTATAAGGCTCCTGAAATGTACCCAGGAGGGGTAAGTGAGAGGTATGAAGGTTGGGTGGGTGGGTAAGGGGGGGTCGGTTACTGGTTGGAATAACGACCCCTCGGTGCTTTAAAAGCATCCATTCTGTTGGTCCAGGACTCGTGGAGCCAGCCGGGGCCTTTCCCTTTTGTCAAAAGTGAAAAATGAAGCATTTCTGAATCCTCGGCACTCGCTGTGTTTCCCTCTGGGCGCCTCAGATACATTGAGTTAACATAAAGCAAAATTCAGGACAGGGGCGGCCCGGGTGACAAATGAAGCGCCTCTGTGTGTTTTGGAGGGAAAAATAAAGGGGGCCCTTTTTTGTCGAAATGAGATTTGGTGCTTCCTTCAGGCCGTTTTTTTTTTTTCTTTCCTCCTGCCGTCCAAAATGTATCTGAGAGCTACAACGGAAAATGGAATATTCTTGTGATGGAAAAAACACCAGAATAATCTGAGTATAGATCATTTCCCTTCAGCACACTCTCAGTCTGCAGTCCAATCGCTGCTCCGCTCCCATTTTGTCACATTATGGCTTATTTTCACACTGCTCTGCCAGCCCGGGCTAAAATAAAAAGTCACCACTCGGTTTGATCACGACACCGAGCCCAGTGCAGCTTTTTAAAAAATGGATCCAATTTGGGTTTTGGAGAGTAAGCTCGCCGGGGTACAAATGAGCAACCTCGGCCCGCCTGCTCACGAGCGGTGCTCTCACCCGACTTGGACTCATTTGTAGTCTGCAGGAGAGGAGAAGGAATGGATGGTCCCGGCAGCTCTCGGTTTGCTTTTTCAGGAGAGGCTGCAGCACCACCGTGGCGTCGGGGAGGGTTCAGAGACTTGTTTGCTAATTAGAGAGAGCTCCCCCCCCCGCCTGTGATGCAAGTCACTCCGCGAAAGCAGACGAGTGCCTGTGAGTTTTCAGATTCACACGGGGCACCATTCACGTTTGTTTTTGTGTTTGGATATATATCAAGCCTTTTACTCTGACTCAGTAGTGATGATATCACAGACACAAATAAACATGTACACATGTCATCAGGAGGAGACTGATCTGATCCAGCTCATTTTATTTCGATCAAGAGGGGTGCTTAATGCCCATTGTTGTTTGGATCAAAATCCATGAACACACTTTAACTAACCATAACTGTGAGTGTCTGCTGATCCACCGTTGCCTGTACCCACCCGAGGAACTTTTGACATTTAGTAAGTTAAATGTGTGCTTTGGTTAGCAGCAGGGGCTCGGCATTTAATCAGCTCCAAATTACGTCACCGTCTCAACATTATTACGTAAAGCTGCTGCACTTCAACGGCTGAACCGTTCATTTTGCATTTCTAACCACCGCCAATTTAGCCACATGAGAACAAGTGTTTCACTTTTTTTTTTACAAGTGATGGAAAACAGCCGAGACAGCAAAAGCGCTAAATGATGTCCGAGAACCAAAAACATAAGCAGCAGACGTCTTCCATCCGACACGTGTTAACAACCGAACCAAAAGTCTCTCATGGAGCAGAAGAAGAGGCGACGCGGACAAACCAATCGAGCCGCTTCAGCTTCTATTTGTCACCGAGCAGAGCCGAGTGTGGAGCCGCTACCTGACAACATTATTAAGACATGTCGGTCCACTCGGCCATCACAGAAAAAGGTGTTGATATGTCTGTGTCAGGGGGCTGGGACATCAACCAGTCTGCCTATTTCTCTTTAGGAACCGTTTTTCTTTACCAACTTTCATTTTGCTGAATGTCAGTCTGGAATTTTTGTACTTTATAAAAACCTAAAATCATTTAATTAAATCCAAGGATCAGAACGGTAAACATACCAAAGTTTTATTTTTGATAAATATACATTTTTATTAGAGATAGTCAGAGCCTTTTAACTTTGATTTTCATGTTTGCAATTTTTACCATTTCAAGTCGAATTTCCGGCGGCTCTGAGGTCATCTGCTGTGGTTGCAGAACACATAGAAACACGGATGAATTATGCTCCGGCAAATTAAAAAGACTGATCATAAAAGCTGTTGGTTAAATTCAGAGGACCGTGGTGGAGTCAGCGTGCCGTATTTGCATATCCTTCATCTGCCTGGTGTGTCAACAAAGGAGCCTCGCTCTCTTGTCTCCACACCGACGTATTCAGATGCAAAATAAAGTGAATGTAATTATGTATCCTTTTTCTTTTTTGTTCCCCTCACAACATTTTGTTCTGTTTTTTTAATATGAGCTCTGCCGCGTGTTTCATTTGAGGACCTTCATTTGTTTTCCGTTTACGAGGGGATGAAAAAAAGAGAGCTCTGTGGAGGAGTTTAATTCTATTTGCGTGGAAATTTGTTGCAGCACTTGCCTGGCGGCGGGTCAGGTGTAAACATTCATATTTTATAAAGCAAAGACGAGCTACAGTAAAAGCTCTTTGGGTCAGGATGGACAGCAGTTATTGTTGAGCACTGCAGATGTGATGTCAGCCCTTTTTTCAGGTCACGTCTGGTTAAGATAAGATGAGATAAGATATACTTTTATTGTCCTCTTTGGGACATTTTCATTTGAATCCACCCAGCTGCAATTTACAAAGAATACAGAACAATTCCACAGAAATAAAAGAAATCAGCCACTGCAGGCAGTTTGCAACAGAACAAGGAAAAATCATCACTTTACCAGATATTGAATTGAGTGCATACAGTATTTACACATGGACACATATTTTGGTAATGTTGAGCAGGTAGGCTACTCTTACTCTTTGTGTAAACATCTTGCCCTGTATTCCTGGTTAGTGCTCAAAGAATCCCCCCCCAATGACATCACCACCTGTTAGAAAACTATTGGAAAGTAAGAGCAGAGGTTATCCAATAGAAGAGAATGTGAGATAAAAGATCCTTCTTATTAAACTTTAAACTGACACAATAAATGGGATGTAATTAACTCCACAGCCATGTGATGATTCAACAACTGAACAGCATGATTTTTGACTTTCTACCTGCTCAAAACCTTCCAAGCTGGAGACAATACGTACTAAGGCCCGACCGATATGGGCCTTTTGGGGCCGATACCATTATAGGAAAAAATTCAGAAACTGCTATGTCGGCCGATATCTTTCTTAGATGTAATTAGATATACACATTTATTGTGTTGATCCCTCAAATGCAGTCATCAAACACTTGTGGAAAAGATTTATAACGAAGACAAGATGGTCACTCAACTGGAAAGTAACCGTGTATATCAGTGCATCAACGCTTGACACTCGTTGTAATCCATTTAGCGCCCTCTGCTGGTGAAAGAGAACTGCGAGTGTAATTCAATAAAACTCAAATTACGTAAATGCTTTTTGACTGGTGAATAAATCTAAATAATAAGATATATATTTATATAATATAAATAATATCAGTGCATATTAGAGATAAAAAATTATCGGCTGGATGATCAAACGGTTGGGCTCTAGTACGTACTGGATCAAAACATGTAATGTGATGATTATGTTGTCTGGTACACATTAAAGTTGTTAATCCAATAGATTTGAGAGTCCTCAGCCACCATGTTGCTTTGTTTCGCTTTTGATCAAAATGCATGTGAACATGTTAGTCCGGCTGGATTGGCACGGAGTCGAATATCTGACATCCACAGTCCCTGCACCGGGCTTAGACCCGTAAATAGAGCTGCATAAATGTGTAGCATAGCAGAAGTCATGATGTATTCTGCCTTCAGATATCACCATATGCTGGAGGGATAGCGTGCGTTCTAAACATTGTGAAATGTAGAGGTCAGCTGCTTAGAGGACATTAAACACACTGTATGTGAAGTTTCCGCTGCAAACTATTTGTAAATGTGTCTTAACCTAATGATGGTTGAACACTTAACATAGGTTTGGGATGTTTTTCAGTCATCTGTAGGTTTCACGCTTTGGATTTGGATTCTGCTGCGTGTGTGTTGTGTGTTTAAAGCTCGGGGGAAAAGGGGGAAGCATTGATTTTGTGTGAGTCAGTCAAGCACAGAGTTTTAAAGCTGGTTTGGTGGAAGTCGTTCTATTGATTAATGGCAGCGCCTGTGCACACATGGATGCAGATTGCACATTATTGAGGACACCGGGGATTAATCCAGTTTGTAAGTTTATGAGGTTTTAAACTGTATGCAGAGTCAGAGGACTGCACTGTAGGGCGCTGGTGTGTGAAGTTATCGTTGTTCTTGAGTTATTAGAAATCGACTCATTGTATTTTCTTGTCTTGGTGATTTTTAAGCAGGTTTTTTTATGGAGCCAATCCCAGCTGTCATTGGACTAGTCACAACCCGTCAACCACCTGGCTGACATACAGAGACGGATAAAACAGCCACACTCACACCTTCAGGCAATTTTATATAATAATTTATACTTTATTAATCCTGTGAGGGGAAATTTGGTTTTACTTGACTTGAGCCAGTGACCCTCCGGTTCCCAACCCAAGTCCCTACAGACTCAGCTACTGCCGCCCCAGAGCATGTCTTAGGACTGTGGGAAAAAGCAGGAGTACCCGGAAAGAACCCAAGCATGCACGATGAGAACATGCAAACTCCACACACTGTTAGACGGGGATTTGAACCAGGAACCTTGGAACCACCGTGCAAAAAATTGACACATTTCGGACCTTCATCGCATTGTGATTCATGGCTTAACGCTGACAGCCCTGAAAAGTGTCTTTTATTATTTTCAATGAACCCTTAAAAAATGAGGACATTCATTGAGGATGTTTTTCTTTGTCTCTGTCCTTTTCTTTCTCTCTCTGTGTAGTTCAGCAGAAAGCAGCTCTGGAGAAGGAAGCCAAGGTCATCATCCTGGAGGCCGGGGTCGCTGATGTGAGTACATCAATTTACACTCTTTACACAATCACTCCTCTTTCCACACTCAGTCGAATAAACCTTTTGGAAGATTGCTGACAATTATGAGTCCTTGATTTAAATGAACCAAAATCATTTCACACTTCGGGACTGCTGGCATTCACCTTGTAATAACATGAGTTTACAAAGTGATTCGACATAACAGCTAGAGCCCAGACAACATGTCTAGATGCAGCCGAATGCAGACTCACTTGTCTCTTTTGAACTGGTCTCGGGGGATTTGCTCAAATTCAGCTAGAGGAGCATGAGGGAGGTCCATCACTGATGTTTGCTGGAAAGATCTGAGGAGGGGGATCTGCTCAGGTCAATCAAGATCATACTCAATACAATAAGAAAATCTATGACCTTATGGAGTTGAACTCCTCGAGGGTCATTGTCATGTTGAATAAGTAAAAGAACAACCTTGAAGTTCCAAAAAGTTGCACATGATTCTCTAAAATATCTTTCCACTTTTGTCCCTTTCTTTCTTTCTTTCTCTTACACTTCCTCCAGTACAAAAGCCGAACACTTTCAGGTTTGATCTAGACACCCCTGAAGTGTCTATGCGCTGTCCTCCAGTTGATTGTTTTGCTTGGCTGCTACAGTCAGAACATGCAGTCAGACACAATGCAATGGTTGGTTGAGGTGGCAGACGGGCGATGGATAGCTCAAACGTCTCGAGGTCAGGATTCATTATCTGTGCCAAACCCAAGATTCAATTATGGATCATTTCAGAATTTGGCTTCTGTTTTTGCCTAACTGGATGTTGCTTTTGAATTCCAACTTGTAGCATATTTACCATTGAGACAGAGTGAAATACTGATGCGGAAAGTGTCCCTTGATCCTCATCTTTTTTAAGTGTAGAGCCACTGAAATGCTGCTCTGTTGATGCTGTTGATTTCAAATATAAAGCTTAAAGGAGATCTTTTCTGCTGATCCATATTTAAATACATATACAGTATATATAATGTTTCGATGTTGGATGTCCATACTAGCCTATAGGCCAAGCTTTTTTAAACACATAATATACAGTTGTTGGTGTAATCCCCGGACGTGGTTTCCTGCTGCTGTGAACGAGACTTTGAGAACTTCTCCAGACTTGTCCAGAACTTGACGTCGGGTTCTGCCGACGTATCAGAGCAAAGCATGGAGCAAAGTTGTAAGACACGCTTTTTCATGGACACACCCACCTGGAAGCTCACTCAAAAGTCCCTGCCACTGCAAACAGAGCTGGCCAATTGGAGGAAAGTGGGCATGTGGGGGGGCGGGCTTTAAAGAGACAGTGGCTAAAAGTGTTTCAGGCAGAGGCTGAAATGAGAGATTTTACTGCCACCAGTATCAAATAAATTAGGAGGTTTTTGAGCTACACATCTCACAACACTACTCAATAGGTGTCCCAGACTGAAATAACTAAAGGTGACAGTGAGGATAATAGATCTCCTTTAAACATCCTTATCCTTCCTCAGTCATATTTCAATACACGGTATGAAGAACATCTTTTTTCATTGTATGTGAGTTGATGAATCATTAACGTTGGGGGTAAGATTAGAGAATCTCAAGAAATAGATGTCAACGTTTCAGATGCTTGGTGCCCACTCCAGTATCCCGGCCTCTCTCCTGCTTGGTTTTTCATCTCTCTCTGCATTGCTATTCTCCACCATCTCTGCGGGAAATAGACTGCTGAGTGTCTGCGCTCGCCTATTGATTCAAGAGTTAGTCTGCACCGATGACGGCACGCCATTCACCACGCTTATCATCGTGGCAGCAGCGAGGTCTGAGAGAGAAACGCTTGGAAAAAGGAGAGAGGGGCTTAGAAGGGAGAAGTTGAACGGGTGGTGGAGGAGGAGGAGGAGGCGTGAAATGGAGGGCCTATCGAGGTGATCAATACTCAGCTGCAAACAGGAGCCAATTATGGCCAATCGAATGTCTGTTGTAAGAAAGAGAGAGGGAGAGAAGCAGAGAAAAATCCCTCCATCACACGCTGCCAGATAGAGAAATAGCAGAAAGCTGTGGGCGAGGCACAGCGTGCAACAAAACATCCATCATCGCCCCATTCGCTGTTTATTATACTTTTATCATACACTGTAAAATAAGAATATTAGCATACTTCATCACAGCTGACAGCTTAAAATACAAAAAAAAGGAAAAGTTAGTTTCTCTAGAGTGAAGAAGAAAAGATTTGTTTTCGTGCTGACGCCTGATCTCGAGTCTGGGAGCAGATTTCTGAAAGAGCCTGCAGGTTTGATTCTTGTGCTTATTTGTCAGGCAGAGAAATAAATTCTGGTGTTTTTTTTCTTCTTCTTCTTCTTCTTCTTCTTCTTCTTCATTGACGCCTGTGTATATTTGAAAAGACGAGAACATGAAAGTTTATTGATCCCTGTGGGGAAATTAAGTTTGTGCTGCGGCAAAGGATAATGGGAGATAATGGGAGAAAAATTGCACTCGATAAAACCAATAAAGACAAAACAGTCGAACAGTTAAAGAGAACGTAAATTATCGTGGGGTTGTGTAAGTTAATGCACCTGACAATCTGGCATGTGAAGTGTAATAGATGTGAAGGCATTACATGGAAAGAGTGTGTTATTTGTCTTCTTTATTCTTGGGGAAACGTCTTTTTTTATTAAATGGTGTACCATGTAATCAGCTGTTTTTCCCCAATAGGTTTAAAGAACACATACGGTTTTGACCTTTGATTTAAAGGGGACGTATTATAAAAAAATCCACATGTACAATGTTTTTGAACATTTATTTTGGTAACCTGAGTGTCTACTGACCAACAAAATGTGAAATAAACCCATCCAGTCCTTTGTTTGTGGTCTGCATAAGTCTTACAACACAGAGGAAAATGCTCCGTTTCAAATTTGCTCTCCTTGTGATGTCACAGTGGGATTCTGGTTAAAAAAAAAAATCCCCTCCCCTCCCCTGGTATCTTCACCCATGGACTCCACCCCCAGACTAGAACAAAACTTTTGCGCAGGTCCATCATTTTTATTCTCGCTAGCGAAGGAGTGATTTCTACGGCTCATTGCATTTAAAGAGACACACACACCAAAACGGAGCGTTCTGAGAGAGTCGGTAGAGTCGTCGCCTCTAAACCTCTAAACAATTCAACCATCCAGATCGCTAATACAATTTGAAATAGCAGTACTTATGTAGAACTGTGATAGCTTGTAAAAATATGTGAATAATAAAATAACTTTTTATGTGATCTGTTTGACACAACATGTTGCCTTTTCAGAAAAACAATCTTTCAATCAACAAACAATATATTATTTTGACCTATTAATGGTAAATTAAAGAATACATAAAAGGTATTTTAATTCACTGATATTTACTTGAAATTGTCTTGGTGGCAGTAAATGTACAGACCACTTACTGTAGGTGACAGAAACAAGTCATGAGAAGGACAACTTTTGTATATCACTGAATTTCTTCAAAGGTCAGTAACAGTGTCAGTGTTTATAAAGTTGTATAGGGTTTATATTCACTTTGAGTATAAAGATGCTCAAACCAGTGCTGCCTATCGCAAAAATACATTTGAATGTGTTGAGGAGAAGACGAGAATCCAGTCAGACCAAACAGTCTGAGAGAGTCTTACAGGTCGAGTCCCCGCGGCAGCCGTATAGAGTCGCCCTTCAGCAGCATTGATGTCTGGCCAAATTGTCTATGAGTCAGTCTGCTCGTCTCCTGCTGTTCATTCTTCCTGGGTCATTCAAGATTCGTGCCCACAATTCCAAATTCATTTGGAGTTGATGTTCCTGCGAAAAACAGAGAGTATAATTCAGCATTTCCTTCTTGCTGCCTTTTTTTTTGCTTGGCTTCTTCAGAATCCAGGACAGAAACGCTCCAACGCTTCAGTGAGCATATTGATTGGATGTGTTCAATGGAAATATCTGCTTTTCTAAGTCTGAGTGCAGGTAATTAACTAAATAAAGAGAACGCTTGATTAAATCAGGGAAAATGCTAAATACACTCAGATTTGGATGTGTCAGTTCGTAAAATGAACAAAGTCTTAGCTTAATGGAGAAACATCGTTGTTTTTAGAGTCACTTAATCAGACTCCTGCTTTAAACTTGACTTGTGAAACCGGTTTGGTGTTTTTGGACCTGGACCAAATTATTTATACACTGGTCTAAATGACAAATGGAACCAAACTTCTTCCAAGGGATTAATACAAGTTTCTGATTCTGAAATATGTAGAAAAAGTTTTGGATTTTCTCATATAGATCACTCCAGTGAGCAACCAAGATGCTGGCTGTCTTGGCAACTTATTATTTGAGACATACTGTGTGATTGTTTTCACCACTGACAGTTTCAGTGTGTTAGTTTCAGTGTCTGCAGATATTCAGAAAAGTGAAAGACCCTTTTGTTGAAATGAATTATACAATTCAGTTAGCAGACACTTTTATGTAAAGTGACGTTCATCAGAGAGTAAGAGCAACAGATGTAAGGATATAGAGAAGAGGAGACAATGTCAGGAAGTGAAAACAAACAGCTTTAAGTCTGATCAGACACACAGGTGCTGACAGGAAGTGCGGCAGAGCACAACATCGACAGCTGTTCTTGAGAGTTCTAATCAGCATCAAAACCATCCTCAATATCAACATCATCGTCATCATGAAGGTCGTTGGTGTTCATAAAGAGCTGGGTCTTTAGCTTTTTCTTAAAGGTGCAAAGGGACCCTGTAGATCGAATGCAGTTTGGTAGTTCATTCCACCAACCTCCAATTCAGTTCGGTTCGGTACGGTTCACATTTATTGGCGTTTCCACTGTCAAAAGTTAGTAATGGTACCAGAATAACTGATCTGTACTGTCCTACTTTTTTGTTAACCTTCCATTGGGGTGCCAAGCGTACCGATCAGACTCTAAAGGGTAGAGCTAGACACACTGCAAGATCAGGGTTTACTGTACCAAACTGTACCAAAGTATACTGAACCAAACTTGGTGGAAACGGGGCTTAAATAACATCGCTCTCTTCA